TATATATATATATATATATTTATAATATATTTAAACACATAATTCATAACTGAGTTGATTGCCGACAGGCTTACAATGTAAGAGCAAAATTATTAAAGAGAGAATTTTTAAAAAAGTTTCCCGAGTCCTAATAAAATTCCATGAAAATTCTCTAATATTGAAGTATAAAAGAAATCCCTGATAATTTCAGATTTTTCATGTTTTGTAAAAAAAGAAGTAGATACCCCGATTTTATTATTTGTGTAATTTTACTCATCGTTCACGTTATTTTACATATATTTTTTACAATATATCTAATTAATTCACTTTTAAAATGATTATATAAAACACACGTCAAACACATGGTCACCTGTAACGAAAGATATAACGAATTAGATAGCGGATCGCAGTCGAAATTAGCAGCCATGGCTACGCAGCCCAAAATTCTAATCGGCGACGCGATCTCCCCCCCGCCTTTCAGCGTGGATAGGGCCCCGTGCGATAACTCGACGCGTGACGGCATTATAACGACGCCCGGACGACGCGGGAGGGCCGATAAGAGGACCGGCGAGGCGGGCGGGACCGCGGTCGTACCGAAAATTAAGACAAATCACGACCGATTACAATCGCGTTAAATTAGCCCGGCGGCCGATTCGTCGCCGCATGCGAATCGCGCATTAGGAGAGACGCCGGGCGTCGTAAATGCAACGACGCCGAGCGTTTCTTGTTTTCGTTCCCGATGCACAGCCAGAAGGACTGCGATAACTCAGAGTGTGTACCTTCGCACGCGCGCGACCACCGTGGGTTATCAGCCACGACGCGAGACGGGACCTGAGTTGTTATCAGCGGCCGGCGGCTTGAAAAATCACCGGCCGGAAAATAATTGTTAAGTGCTTTATTAGCGCAATAACGTGCAACGACGAGAGGGAAGAACTAGGACAAAAAGGGACGAGAGATAGCGACGATCGTTCCGTCGAGATCTCTCTGTCAGAACGAAGGAGAGGAAGAAGAAGCACGTTTAGATTTTGCGACCGGGTTAGGACTTTGCGAATATTTTAAACCACTACTAATTCATCGCTTATGATAAAAGGAGAGGTTATTCACTACATCGGGAAATTAATCTCAGAGATCATCGGAGCTCGAGAGTGACTTCTGCTTGCGCGGTAGCCGCGGAAATATAAAAGTCACCGAATATAATCGAGCAAACTCGCGGGCCTGTCTACGGGTAAATACAAGCTTACAATATGTACAATGCAAGCGGCAATAAATTCTCTCGATATCGCTCGTTAATGATCGCCGTTGTCGCCGATAACTCGCCGACGCGCAGTTTACTATCCATTTCCGAGCAGAGTGCGTCGCGGTGCGTAAATCACATTTCGTATAATTTATATCGCGAGTAACTCGTAAGGTAAAGTAAAATATAACCTTTCGTCGTGCGATAACTGAAATCGCAAAGCGATTTAAGAAGGAGGATGCAGACGAGGAGCATCGTCTGGCTCGGATCAGATATATCAAAATTATATAGAGTAATCGTTATACTAAATAATTATTTTAAAATATAAAGATATATATATATATATATATATATATATATGTAAGAATAATTTTATATCATAGTATCATTAAGTTTATCTCGGGTCAATGTCTCGTATTTATGAACTTCAACACTGCTCTCCTGACGGCGCCCGCAGCATAAATTAACGTCCATCCTGGTGTAATTTACGTGATTTGCGTACTGCACATACCAAAGGACGAGAAGGCGGACAAATGCCTATAAATATTAACTCGATTACGAGCAGCTGTTTGCACCTATTAAATATTGTACGTCTATCCTCTGAAATTACGTGAACAAAATTATCCGAATAGAAGCTACGATTCCTACCATATACAAAAGCCATATAAAAATCCATCCAGCCATATACAAAAGCTATGTAAAAAAAAAAAAAAGACTAAAAGTTTCTTTTTTATTTTTTTTTGGAGATATGAAAAGAGTCAAATATGTTTGTCAAGAGAGATAAAAATATATGAGAGGCTCGTATGTGTTACGTGCCTTTTCAAGCGATTTTAAAACGAAAGTCTTTTAAATCGGTATCGCGTGCAAGAAAATGAGAAAAACACTGAAACCGTTCTAATGCAGGGAAACTGCGCGACGTATTGCTCCTAAATTGCTCATAAAACAACGGCATCTTTTATTGCGACGAGCGTACATAAATGTTCAGCGCACGATAGTCTCGCAATTCTCGTTAGCGAAAACATTTACCTTACAAAAATAGGACCGACACATATATAAGTCTTTACGACATCTGAGAGAGATCATCTGGAGTCACCGAGAGATCCATACCGGTGGTCGATCCGGAATAAAATAGCGTACGACAGTGAAATTTAGATTTAGAACGCGTTGTGACAATCTCTCGAATCGAGAAAAGGGCCGCGATCGTGAAGCGGGCCGACTATGAAATGTTTACCCGCAACGAATTTGTCGCATTAAGAACGCATTAGCGTCAAGTCGGGTTAAGCGATCGGCGTGATATAAGCGGGTCGACAGCGCGCGCATGCCGAGGAAGTGGGTGATTATTAAGTCGACGACGTTCATACTCTATCCGTTCTTTTAAACCCTTAAACTTGACCTTTCTCGTCGGAACAATAAATTCTCTTCTACAAATAAATCGTAAATAATAAAAATTTATTTGCGTGATATCATATAATTTTTTTACATTTTATTTACTTATGATTCGTTCTTTATTTTTTCTCGTTCTCTCCAATCGCGAATCAAAAATCTTCGACTGATTAAACATTAAAATAAAGAGAATAAAGGAAGAATTTTATTTCTCCCGTATATTATATAGTTAGGTGAATGTGTGATTCGGGAGAAGCAACGGGAGGAACGAAATAAGGAACTTGTTTTAGGGCTTGCCCGGGCTCCCGGCGGTTGACGGTTCGGTTCGGACCGGTGGTGCTATTAACGACATTAACGCCACTACGAGCAAACACGGCTCCTATATCATCCCGAGCTGGCGGAATAATAAACGATAAATTCTGGCGAAAAAAATACAGCGTCGAACAAGCGTAACCCATTTGTTTGCGATAAACTGACTCGGAGGCTAGTCCGACCAGTTTGTAACAGCCGTCTCTTCGGCGGGCGCGAATGCACCCCTCGCCATCTTTCTATCATTTTTTTTTTCGCGGCTACCCCCTTCTTTAACTCGTGAACGCTCAAAAATTATTTCCTCTCCCTCGAATCAGATCGTTATAAAAAACTCGACGAATAATCTTTATCGTGAATCTAGAGGCGATATATTTTTTTCGCAGATTCAATGATTACTACTGACGTAGGTATATTTTATTATTTTAGCGGCCAAGTTCGACCGCCGAAACGAATGAGCGAATAAAAACGATGAACTAATAAATTTCTGAAATTCCAAGCGTCTTCGAGGTTTGCTTGCAGGTGTTATCTCCGTTTTTAACTGCTGACGGGCACGAACTTGTAAATTTTCGCAGTACCTGAAATATTACTTGGGGCAAAGAAATTTTTCGAATTTTATCACGATCTGTCTCTGCGAATAAGAATTACAGCACGTGCTTGCAGGCATTACGAAGAGGCGAAAGAAAGAGAGAGAGAGAGAAAGAGAGCGTAAAACTAGAAGAAAAAGTTCGATTCGAGTGATCTGCGCTCGCTTGAATCGAACGACCATATGATCACGAGTCTTAATCATGCGAGCGAATACGCGGTAAAGGTAAAAAAGAGAGAAAGAGATGAAAAAAAGAAAGAGAGAGAACGACGGTTGTATGCGATTTGTCAGAATATACGACGCGCATATGTTATCGTGCCAATTAACAAATTGGAAGGTCCGACTGGATTTCTCGATGACGGCCATTCGTCGCCATAACTGTCACTAGTACCATAAACGCAGAGCAAAAAGAGAAACTGCCTTTGAACCGTCCTTTTTAACTACAATTTCTACATTTTCCTTGCTTATTTCGATTATATAAAATCTAAAAAAGAGAGAGAGAGAGAGTATATAGAGAGTGCGAGAGACACCGAGAGAGAGAGATAGGAAAGAAAGAGAGAGAGAGAGAGAGCGAAGACGAAGTACGCGATACCTTACAAATTGCAACTCGCGAGGGGATGTTTCGCGCGGAGGTACCCACGCGTGATCCGAGGGATCGGCTCGAAATTAAAGCGGCCCTAAAGCGCATCAGCGTCAAAGCGAACTCTCACGACTCCTCTTTCATCATTTTTTTTTTTTTTCCTCTAACCCGGCGCAAATTGATTTATCGCAAAACGTAAATTGATATTAAGTTCAAAATATAAAGCCGAGTGATCTGTGATCACGTGAAATGTTTGATCTGCTCCAATATTCTTCGGGATAATTTAATCACGATTAAGACTTGATTGGAATTTAGCGAAGAAAAATATTTCATCTGTTTAATCGTATTTTATTTAAAAAGAGAATTGTAAAAATAAATCATAAATATTAATAATAAAAATGAAGCCAGCAAATTAGTTTAGATGAAAAGAATAAATAAATATAATAAATTACATTATGAGAATTCTTTTTCCTATATGCTTATGTCTTTGTTACGTCAAATATATTTTACATCAAATAGATATTCTTCACCAACATCGTATTTTTGTCATAGGTGGACTTTGATTGTGACACGCACACTTGCACGAGAGATTTGAAGAGAGAGAGACTGACTAGTGATTAAAATAAATAAATAAACTGCCCACGCGCAGTTTATTTATTTCCGCAATGTTTTCGCAGCCAAATGCAAAAATCGAGGTACTATTGTGAGGATGTTACATTTTGAAACGGAAGCGCGATTAAAAATTGCTTATTCGGTGATCGGTAATTTCGTGTATTGGAAAAAATCTAAATTACTTACATGAATTATTGTATTTTACGGTTTATTGCAAGTATAACAAAAAACTAACAAATACATACTGTTAAATAATGAAATACGAATGTAATTTTGTTACATGTCGTAAAAATGTCAAACTCGGAAAACAAATGACATTTTTTTCCAGATTTACAACCATTTATTTTACCGTTACTTTAATGTGAGGCCTGCAAGGGTCTCTTGGCCTTCAACGTAATGTTTCGGCTCAACTTTATATTGTGTTTACGTGCTCGTCGGCATCTAATGTGTCCTCTGACATATTTATTTGTTCGAACGAATAATGAACCTGGCCTTCGAGTGCCATGCTATCAGTGATATCGAACGTCGAGCGATCGTTGCGCTATCAAAATAATACGTGATTTGTCGACGCCCAGTTGACAGTGGGAGATAACGCAATAGAGGTGCCGCGCAAAAAAAATTCACGTCAAATTTTAATCAACGGAAAATAGCGATAGAATAAAAAAATTGTAATAATTACGATCAATTAATTTACACATACGCATTATTTTAAAATTAAATATCTCAACTATATGTGCATAATAATATTTAAGCAGATGGAAAAATGTTGAAGAAAAATTGGCCAAGGGAAACGTATATATATATATAGCTCTTCGAGTTGCTTTCGTACTTATCCTTGCTGTTTGATCGCGTGTCAAAGTCGGCTTTATGTTGCTACTATTACCGCCACTATCGTTTGTTACGGAATACATAGTTATTACACCGCGTATGCTCAGCATGCTAATATATTTATACTAATAACAGTTTCTCTGAGTTTGAATAAAATCAAAAAATCCCATGCGATATGATAACGAATTGTTTATCACCACGAATATCATGATGCCATAGTTGCGACGTTTAAATGGTTGCAACCTTTATCTAGAATACCTAATCTATCTGCTCGTTGAATGTAACTTAGCATTTCACGAAGAGACTTGAAATCGGAGAACGGCGTAGCTAAAAGTATATCGCAAAGTAATAAAACGGTTCATAACAACGGGAAAGTCTCGCGTGCTGGGCGAAAGGTAAGAGAAACGATGACGCGATGGAACAAGATGTACAGCATGCGCTTGGACGCGTCGTTTCCCCGAAACCGACCCGGGAAAGCGACCTGAAATTATTATCCAACTTTGTGCGAGCAACAAGTGTCGTTAAATCAACTCCGCGTCGCCCATCTCGCGTATCGTGCGGTTGTGTATCACTTCGCACGCCACACATGCACGCACGGAATATTTAAAGAAACGTTACCTAAGCTGTGCTCTCTCTCTCTCTCTCTCTAGCAATCGGTATTAAATAACGACGAGCTCTCTCGCACCTCGCTCGCGCTCGAACTCTCCGGCACGTCCGTCGCAGAGCGTGCGTGTACGTCACGGGGCGGGCGTGAAACACTTGAAAATCCCGGTTATGTAAAACATAGGAAAACGGGCCTCTCCTCTCCCTTCCTCCCCCTCCCCCCCCCCCCCCCTTCAGAAGAC